AAAGCCTTACATACTTGTCAACAAAAACTTAGATGTTTGAAGCAATTAAAGAAAAAAGGAGAGGAAAGCTCTGAGCTGGTGTGCAGTTGCTCCAGGACAATGCGACTGCCAAAGTTCAAGAAAACAGTGCTGAGAAGTAGAGCAATCTTTCTGAGAAGTTTTTAGGTGAGAATAAGAACTGTTTGAAGTACCCTTGTATGTGATGTATCTTGCATTCAACCGCAATGGGCAGGAAGTGGCAGCAAATTGAAGGAAGGAAACTGACTTGTGTAAAGTTAGAAACCATGTATGTACATTTCATCAAGATTATTTTTGAAAAAAATAAACTAAAAATTGCACAATGAATGCAAATATGAACTCCATACATTAAATAAAATGTTAATTTTATGTTTCTTTTTCAATTCACCATTTTAGATATTGTGAAATTTTTTATCATTAAAAAAAAATATGACAATCGATGTGATGTGATGTAGTCTGTTGGTTTCCCATAATATAGTTCTGCATTTAGAATCAAAAGTCAACAGTGTCCTACCTCAGCTGTTTATATTAGTTTGCCTTCTTGTTCTAATCCCTCCAGCTTTTCCCACTTGTTCATGCAGTCTGCAACTCCCTCTGGTGGTCGACTGGTGGTCTTAATGTCCCTGTTAGTAGTAGCAAATTCTATCCTTCTTGCTGTTCTAGTTGGAAGCTAAAGGAAGGAGCGAATACAAGAAACTGCATCATGTCAGCTGTGTGCATTGACCCTGTAATCAGTTCTTTTATTGCTTCTTTTAACTTGAATTTTCTTACCTTGAGCATACTGTGTTCTTCTAGTAAAGGTTAATATATTTTCCCCTCCTGTGGCGTTCTGGTAGAAGTAGTGGGTTGTCTGTACTTTAAAAAGAAGTGCTTTAAGTGCTCTCTAATTATTGTTGTATTTTTTCCACTGACTGCAGCTAGCCAAGGTAATTCTTTTCCTTAAAAAAGAAAAAAGAAAAAAAAGCTCTGATAAATTATTATCTACACACCGTAGTAACTGTATCTTCCCTCTTACTAATATTGCTCCAGTCAAAAACAGAAGATGAACATCTAGTTGTGCTTTATGACCACACTTTGGCTTTAAAATGACTTTGTAGAGAATGTGAGTGGAACTGGAAGTTGGCTAAATCTGACTAAGTCTAAGTTACAGTTTACTTCCTAATGGTTTATCCAGTAGAGAACTTCCATCACTGAGGAAGAGCAACAAACAATCCACAGAACAATTTTTCAGCCAATCAGCAGCTTTGACCAGGTTTGAGGCAGCATATGACAGCGGACGACCCGTTTCCTCCTCCTCCTGCTGTACAGAAGTGAAGACAAAGTATCGGTCAGTGTTGTATGAAGGTCTCCACCTGGGACTGAAGGATCATTGCTGTTTGTTGATATCAAACTTCAAGACTGTGACTTCTGAGTTGTTTGTGACAGGTTTTGAAATTTGATCCTGTCAAGCTGTTTTACTGGGAAGCTGCAGGCGCTACCTTTTATCTGTGGGTTTATTTGAGATGGGGCTGCATATGAAAGAGCAGTGTTGTGGAAATTTTCTATGATCTTAATAAGGTCCAGTAGTCCAAGTTGTCTTTGTCTTGTTTTATTCAAAGCTTTGAAGGTACCAGTCATACAGAATGCAAGCAGTCTGCAGGAGAGTACACATGAGTGCAGGCAGTGTGGTAATCTTATACATGTACAGGCGTGGTCTTTACTCCAATGGTGGTATAACAATTCCATGCTCAAAAACAACAGCTGAGGGTACAGGGTGCACTCATCCACAGACATTTGAAGACTAAACACATTGGATCAGACATCAAAAAGTCTAAACACATGGGATGCAACAAGGTCGTGTTCCCTATAATCTTCTTGACATGAACAACTTCGTCTTCCTTCTGTACGGTCACTAATCTTTTACCTAAATGTTTTGAAAAACACATTTCCTCTCATTGGGCCTGTAACCTTTCCACTCAGCTTTAATGAAACTTAATGAAACTTGCTTTGACATTCTTCATGCAGATGCAGTATTTTTCCATTACAGCAGAATGTCTTTAACATTTGTTGTTTACTAAGTGTTGACTTATGTGAACTGAGGGTCTTCGGTGGGCTCTCCTGAATAGCAACCATCCTCATATGTCTAATGAACCGATAAATTACAAGATTTGACATTTTCCAAATGCAGAGGAAAATGTGATAAAACCACTGAAAACCCTTCCTTAACTGCTAACTGATCTTGTGCCAGATTTCTATAGCAATCATCATGTCTGAACAAGAATGAGGAAACAAATCCAGCAGCAAAAAGTGGATTGATACTGCAGGGAGGAGATTCAACGTCACATCCAGAAAATGAAACTAAAAGTTTGCCAGAGCAACAGCTGAGTTTCAGTCCAAACTAATCTCTGTCTCTATCAGAAGAAAATTCAACTGGCCTTCTTCAAAAGCTGACTGAAATACTGGTGAGTACAACTAAAAACATTTACTGTGTTTACTTCGTGAATAAATCTTCAAACAGGAGATTCTATTCTTTTTTCATACTGTCATTTTAAGTCAATTCAAGTGCAAACTTACGCTCAAACAAGAGAACAGCATGTGAGTGTAGTACTCAACAATAATGATAAAATCCCAGTTTAAAATGTTGTTTTTCACACTTTTTCTATTGATCTCACAGCGCAAACATGCCTGATGCCAACAATCTGCAATCTAAAGACCAGTTTCTGTGCTCCATCTGTCTGGATGTGTTCACTGATCCAGTCACCACATCTTGTGGACACAACTTTTGCAAACACTGCATCACTCAGCACTGGAATACTACCGAACGGTGCCTGTGCCCCATGTGTCAAAAGGTTTTTGAAACTAAACCTGAACTGGACGTCAACACTTTGTTCTCTGAGGTCGTTGCTAAATTCAAACATGAAGCTCAACAGAGAGTTTGTAGCAGCAGCAGCTCAGAGCAACAAGCTGCCAAACCAGGAGAGGTTCCCTGTGACGTCTGCACTGGACGCAAACCGAAGGCCGTGAAGTCCTGCCTGGTGTGTCTGCTCTCCTACTGTGAGACTCACCTGGAGCCTCATCTGACCAAGTCAGGCCTGAAGAGACATCAGCTGATGGAGCCTGTGGAGAACCTGGAGGACAGGACGTGTATGAAGCATGAAAAACCTCTGGAGCTTTTCTGTAAGACCGACCAGACATGTATCTGCGTGCTCTGCTCAGTTTTAGACCACAAGACTCATGAGTGTGTTCCTCTCAAGGAAGAATGTAAAGAACGGAAGGTAGAGCTGGCGAACACAGAGGCTGAATTTCAGCAGATGATCCAGAGGAGACGACTGAAGATTGAGGAGATCAAACAGTCAGTGAAGATCAGCAAAGATGCTGGAGACAGAGAGAAGTCAGAAGGTGTTCAGGTGTTCACTGCTCTGAAGAAGTCTGTGGACAGAGGCCTGATCAAGTTCATGAACGAGGTGGAAGATGAACAGAAAGCAGCAGATAAACAGGCTGAAGATGCCATCAAAGATCTGGAACAAGAAATCTCTGAGCTGATGAAGAGGAGCTCTGAGGTGAAGCAGTTCTCACACTCTGAAGACCACATCCACCTCCTACGGAGCTTCTCATCCCTGACAGCTGCTCCACCCACCAAGGACCAGACAGAGGTCAGCGTCCGTCCTCCATCATATGAAGGGACTGTGGCAAGAGCTGTGGCTCAGCTGAAGAAGACACTCAGACAAGAAATTAAGAAGCTGCTCACTGAGGCTGAGCTGAAGAGGGTCCAGCAGTTTGCCGTTGATGTGACTCTTGATCCTCAAACAGCACATCCTTACCTCATCATGTTTGGTGATGACAAACAAGTGATGCATTGGAATGTGAAGAAGAAGCTTCCAGACAACCCAGAGAGATTTTCTAAATGTGTTAATGTTTTAGGAAAGCAGGGTTTCTCTTCAGGTAGATTTTACTTTGAGGTTGAGGTTACACGAAAGACTGACTGGACTTTAGGAGTTGCCAGAGAGTCGATCAACAGGAAGGGACTGATCACGCTGAGACCTCAGGACGGTTTCTGGACAGTCTGGTTGAGAAATGGAAACGAGTTCAAAGCTTGTGCTGACCCTCCAGTCTGTCTCTGTGTGACGTCTGGTCCTGAGAAGGTGGGAGTGTTTGTGGATTATGAAGAGGGTCTGGTCTCCTTTTATGATGTAGATGCTGCAACTCTTATCTACTCCTTCACTGGCTGCTCCTTCACTCAGAAACTCTTCCCATACTTCAGTCCCGGTATTAGTTATGGTTTTAGAAACTTTATACCTCTGATCATCTCTCCTGTGAATCAAACTGACAAGGCATCAAACACACAAGTTCAGAGGGTTAAGCAAAACACTAACCAAATGTGAACGAGGCATTCCTCACAGGTAAAGAAGCTCTCAGCAGCAAATCTCTAGTTTGATTTCAAACTGGTTTTTCTGGAATTTCTCCCAATTTACTGTCTGAGGAAGGCAGAAAACGAATAATCTTTAAAAAAAAAAAAAAAACACTTGCTGTGATTCTGGGCAAACCTTTCATCTAAATATCATTATCAGTTCAGTCTTTATGAGCAACTATAATCCAGATTTTTTTTTTTCATGTTGGATTTTTACAGTTTACATGTAGATGTACATTCATTATTGTTTGATATGATGATACAGTCCTACAAAATCATGGTGTCCTGAGCTGAAATATTTCACTCAATGTCTCATATACCATCACAAGATGAAGAGATCTGTGCTGAAAATTAATTTTGCCTCCAGGTTAAAGACTCCTAAAAGGAAAGGCTTTGGGAAAAAAATTGATTTTACAGTGAAATGAATGTATTTATACGCACTTTTGGGATAACCGTGTAAAGGTACATTTGAACTTTTCATTGTGGGTAATGTGTAAATGTTTGCTGCCCTCATCGCAGAGGCAATGGTGGAGGTTTATGCAGTTATATAGTGGGTGGATTACAGTGTTGAGTTTTTAATTTTGTTTTTTGTTGTTGTTGTTGTTGTTGTTGTGGTGGTGGTGGGTCGGAGGAAACCTTTGTCTCTTAGTACTATTAAGTGTTGCTATTTCAAATGTGATGATTCAAGAAAATAAATACTCTGTTTCTTTCTGCTGGCTGTATGTCTCAGTTGTTGTTGTCATCCTCACTTAAATAAGGGACATACCATCGTCAAAACTGTACAGTATCAAAGGCATTTGAAGGGGTGAGGGTTAGATAACATAATAAATTTAGTAATGTATACTGTGGAATGATTCTACCTGTAAAAATTTCAATTTTAAAAGCTTTCTTTGAGAGCAGATCATAGTTACAGCAGAAGTCTGTAATCTGTTTCTTTTAATGAAAGCCTTTAATATATGATTTTATGATGGCGTGAGTCTGTTTACTGGTGAGAAGAGAGATTTACAGTGTATTCAAAAGGTGAAGCTCAACTGCACACTGAGGACACTGCTTAGCTTACTATACTTTACTGCATAGAATAAACACACCCAATGATAATAAATTGATATATAGATGAATATACTGGTTGAGGGTTACATAAAAAAGCTTATTATACTGTATGAGTCAGCATGGTGTACTGGTACATTGCAGTCCTACCTTCCACAAAACGACTATTCGGCCTACATAGATCTCTACAGTGATTTGCTGAAAAAAAATTAACCACATAATTTGACTCATTGCACTTCCTCACTCATTATTTTTACCTGTTCAGTGGCTCACTACTCACACTGTATGCAGTCAGTGTAAATCAGTGTAAATGTTAACATCAGCTAAGTTTGCTGCAACACTTAATCTCTGTTTTGTTTGGGTTTTTTTTTAGCTAAAAAGTAAAGCCACTGACAATTTCAGTACTTCTTTTGCACTGGCTTGTAATGGAGCTTTTGCTCTGCAAGTCTACTTTGCATAGTGATCTATATTTACCCTTGTGTGACAGAAAGAGGAAGTCTATATACAGCAGCAGAGCAGCAGAGGGGCAAAACTGTGCTCGGTGTTGAAGATTTTACATACCCATCACTAATTCATTGCCACTGTTACAAGGAAGATGTTAAATGCCACTCAAGTTCTATGCAACTATAAATATTTAAACTCACTGTCTAAGAAAACTAAATGCCGTGTGTGTAAAGTATATGATGATGGGAGAAAAATAAACGAAGCTATTTTCTTTAGCAATTGCATTTAAGGTGTGACTGTGCTCCTCATATGGTTTCTCTGACTGTATATTGTTTATATGGAAATATTTAAATTTGTCTTACCAGTATAGATTAATGTCCTAATGAGATACTTTCAACAGCACAGCAGGATAATGCATTGGATGGTTGTCTGTATGACAACAAGTACTTACATGATGTGGTTAAATGCTCTATGTGAACCACATCATAATCCTCTTCCATCTGGATGAAACACTAGAATTAAAAAGCAGTTAAGTTACACAATGATTAATGATGATCTGTTTGATAATGGCCAGTAAAAAATACACTTGAACATAAACTTGTTTAACTTTCATAAAAGTGTTGAGTAGTTAAATGTTGAGTAAAAAAAATACCTCCAGTGTGTTTATCATCTTAACTAGTCAAGTGCAAACTGATGGCATTCCTCCAGACTATACATAGCTTTTTTTTTTAGCTCTCTGTGCTTCAGTGCCTGAAGAACAAAACAAAAAAAAGGATGTAAAACTAACATGCCAAATCTGAGTTTTCATTATTTTGTTTCCTCTATGTCACATAACAGTCTTCTCCTTCCGTTTTAACATAAAATTCACCATACAGGCTGAAATAACAAAACTCCTTATTTCCTTAGTGCTCATAGAATTGGAGTTTGGTCCAATAATTATTGTTTCTTGATGTTCGGCGCACTTAGGATGCACCATATTGGAAAAGGAAAGGCTGTAAACCAGATTGTTGTTGTTGTGCCATCTTGCACCAGCCCCCAGTGCCTGCAGTAGATGGAATCCTATCAGGTTTAAATGTTTCATCATAGGCTAAAGGTGATCACTCAGAACAGCTTTGTATTGATTTGCATTGATCCAAAACCAAAGTGTAACAGAACTACTGGATCCCTTCAGTATAGAGATGGCAGGGTTCTGGCTTGTATTGCTCTTTTGCTGTATGCCACACGTGCACTAACCTACTTACTAGAATACTGCGAACGATGACTCATCCGACCGCATCTCTTTTTTCCATACATCTGTCTTATTTTCATCTTTGATCTCTCAGATGTGCACTCATCTTTGTCATAAGTGTTAATGCACTGCAACTCTAGTATATTATCTCTCTTTATTTTACCATCAGTTAACTGTTCTTGCTTTTGTTGTGTCTCTCCACTTTTTTATTCTTTTTTTTACAATTTGTCATCTCTAATCAACAGACTAAAAGATGTTTTACTAACAAAATACATCTCAGTTATTTTATTATACATGTTATTTAATTTTAAATGTTTTTAAAAGGGGCTTTTGGAAATACGCAAGATCTCTCTTCCTGAATTTGCACGTAAAATGGAGAAACCCTGTTTCACACCATCTCATCATGTGAAAGGTATTTAGGCAACACAGACTAGGCACAAGAGCAGCAACATCAGCAGGAAGAGAAACGTTCAGCACACCACAAGGCTGCAAAGAATGACACAGACACACATCAACAATCAAAGACTGGCAGATATCTTTTCAGGTGAGGACTTCATGACTATTTTCTTTTAAAACAGGGATTTTTATTAGTCATACAAAGCAGCAAACAAATATTTCATTATTTATCATTAGTCATTTGAGTCTTTTTTTTTTTTTCAATACTACATTTTCTACATGTTCAAATAAATTCTACCTTTACAAATGCAGTGCTTCACCAATAAACTATAAGCTGAAGTTTTAAAGTTTAAGAGGAAATGAAAGACTTATCATGAGTAATTTCAGAATTTTGAATAACTTTCAGAAAGGGCTGTTTGTTTGATATAATTCTGTACACAAAATCTGTTTCTGTTTTGTGCTTTATTACTAAATATCATTGGATAACATTGAGGACATTTCATAGACTATGTAACTAAAATAGGCTATAAATAAAAATATGCTACAAATCTGGAGAAAATTGTGCTCACAAAAATACAATTAAAGAAAATACAATTAAAGAAAATTTTATATAAATGATAAACATGCAAACAAAAGTTTCAGTCCCTGTACGAAAGGAAGTGGGTAACTGTCAGGTCAACCTGCCACTTCCCTTTTCAGCTCAGATACATCTGACACTGCAAAGAGTTTAATTTTCCATGAGCTCATTACAAAGACATTGACCCATATCCTGATTCTTGT